TGCCAAGACTGTCTCTGTCTTGGGGCAGTTGATAGTGTGTATTGATTCTTTCCTCTGGTTAGCCTGGTTTTGTAGGTGCTAATTAATGCTCGTTAAGTCATTATGTAGTAGCTAGGTCCTGTGTATTGAGCTGGTCCCTGAGTCCCTGGTCCCTGAGTGAATCATGATTGATTGATTGGTAACACAGCCGCTTAGCAGCCAGGCCTGCAGTAGTGTCTCCCCTCCCCGCTCCAAGGCAGACAGTCTCCCAAGCACCCATGGCACGAGTTTTGCTTGTCCACAGCTTGAGGTGCTGTTCCCCCCAAACACCTACACCAGTGTTCTTGAAACTTGGCATGCTTCATCCTCTCTGCAGAGTCTACCACCCCTGAAAATTTCATCCAAATCGGACAAAAAGCAACAAAGTTATAGATATTTTATTGTTTCCCCATTATACCCCATGGCTGGATTTCTGAGGCAGCTCCAAAGCTCTTCGGAAGCTCCAAAACCTCTTCGGGAAGCCTAATGAGGCCAGCGCTTCGACCTGGACATGCCGCTTTGGACCCCAAAGCGTCCGAAGCTTCTCCGGATCCGAAGCTCTGTCCAAAGCCTAACATAGCCCTAGTCACAGGGCCAGGCTGGGAGATCCTTCTCTCCCAGAGCCAGCTCAGTGGTTGCTGGGTTGGCACTGGGAGATCCTTCTGGGAAGCATCTCCCGGCACCAACCATGAGAACTTGGAGCTGGCACTGGGAGAGAAAATCTTCCTGCCTGGGCCCCGTGACTGCGGGACTGTGATTGGGAGATAAGGTTCTCCCAGCCTGGGCCCTGTGATCGCAGAGCGGAGGCTGGGAGACATTGTCCCAGCCCAGGCTTCAGTGTTGGAGCCCACCCCACCAGCAGGCAGCTCCCCGGCCTGCCAGGAGACAGCTGTCTCCTGGTTCATGGTCTAGCTCCTAGAGGGAGGCTAGAGCTCCCCCTGGTGCCTGCAGGGACCCGTTGTAGGGCCTCAGGGAATGGAAGCAATCTGCTGCTAGGAACAGCAAATCTGCTCCTGCATCCCTGCACATTTAAACACATGCCTGTGAGAGTTTGCTCTCAAGTTAAACGGCTCCCAGATTATTTGCATGTGTAGATGTGCCCACTTTATGGCTTGATTTAGTTCTTTACTTTGCTTATTCGCTAATTTCTCTCTCTTCTTTAGGTATGTGTCAATGTAAGTACTCTTTTGCCTCATATACAGGAAAGGAGATTCTTCTGAATAACATTGTCTGTTGGGTTTGTGAGCGTGCAATTTGATTCTTGAAATAGCCATGTAAGGATATGAAAGATGAAGAAGCCACCCAATTATTCCCTCCATGGCAGCATGACAGAACTTGGCCCGATCACCCTACTACTCTTTAACATTTGATAATTTTTCCTATTGGACTAGTAATCCACTTCCCTGCAGTTTCTCCTGATGGTGGACACCAAACCTGATGGTTTCTGGTCTTTGATTCTTTGGGATTTAAGCCCTATCCATCATGCAGTAGTCAGATGCTTCCTGCAAACTCACGCGTACCTACTGTATCTGGCTGTATACTAGACTGGTACACAATATTGTCACTCCTTTTCACAAAGAGTACATAAGTAGTGGAATGCCTATCATAAACCCTGTTTATTAAAGCAGTCCATAGATATCACTTAGGACTTTTTAAGAAATTAGTTCCTAAGACCTGTCAGATACCTAAGAAATAAATGTCTATGAATATCCTTTACAATAGGCACACAGCTCCAAAAACTGGTACTGGCAATCCCTTGATGCGGAAAAAAGAACTGGCAGTAACATCCTTAGCATTGAATCCCAGTATTGATAGATGACATTTTTCAGCATAGAAATTAAACTTTCAGGCACTGCTCAGTGTGC